ACCCCAATCCTCCTCGAATTTCCCAGCCGTTTGCCCTCTCAAACACTCGAACAGAAGCTTTCCTTCACCCTCAATCACACACAACTCACAACCTCTCTTGATTCTCTCTCGAATCCTCCTCTTTCTCTGATTTTCGGCCAAAAAGAGACCAACACGCGTCTGTTCCAGCCCTTTTATATAAACCCTAGGGTGTCCCCTAAACCGTTCCCCAAACCGGTAAATCAGAAACCGAAACCGTCGGTCTGATTTTACTCCGTGGATCGACACACATGCCCAAAAAATCCCCTTTTTGGTTCACGGGCGTTACAAAGATAAAACCAAGAAGAGTTCACGTGTTGTGATGATGACTGTATAAAACGTATTAAATCTATGTTTATAAAACGTATTCAAAAAGAGTTCACATGTTGTGTTTATGAAACGATTGACCGTATGGTTTCATTGGATTGAAATTTTACTTTGCATCTATGTTAGGGTTTATATATATTGACAAAAGATGAATATCTATTAGACAGGGCAATAACTACGTATGCAAGAATTGCTTCAGCCTGAAAATCACTAACAAAGTTCGTTGAATCTGTTGAACAAACATGAATTTTTTCAAGACAAAAGAAAGAATAAAATGTGTGACCTTGTATGAAAAACTTAGAATACATAAAAACAAAAGAACAACAATATTTGGGGAAAACATAGACAATGAGGAGATCATACGAATATAAGACGAAATACGAACCAAATAAATCAAAAATATATATCTTATAGACATCAACCAGGGGAACATACCTTGTCGATCGAAGTTCTAATATCCAAGACCTAGGACCTTGGTAANNAGAAGAAAAAAAAAATTATCTATTATAACGGAGAACCAAAAAACACAAAACAGAATAATGATTATAAGAATTACAAACAACAAATTAAAAAAAAAAACACAGAATATATACAACGGAGAAAATATATGAAAAAAAGGAGAAGACGACGATTTGTTTGACAATGAAAGAAAGAGGGGGTATATACAAGAATCGAAGAATGTATAGATAAGGATGAGAATTNTTTTGATATCATCAA